CAAGAGAAGCTAGAACACAGACTTCTACAAAGACTTGTATAAGAATATTCACAGCATCTTAATTTGTAATAGTCAATAACTTAAAATGTCCTTCAAGTGGGTGCATGATAAAAACTTTAGTACATTTATATAATGGAATACTACTCACCAATAAAAGGAATGAACTATTGATACATGCAACAATATGTAGAAAGCTCAAAATAATTATGCTGTTGAGTTGAAAAAAACAGACATTAAATATAATTCCATTTACATAAAATTCTAGAAAATGCAAACTGGTTTATAGTGACAGACAGCAGGGTGATAGTTGTGTGGGACAGGAAATCAGGTGAGGAACCTGAGGCAGAGGGATTACAAAAGGGCCCAAGGAAACTTCAGGGGATTATGTACATGAATACTAATTTGATTGTGGTCATAGTTTCATGTGTGTATAATCATATCAAAACTTTCTCAATTGTACAACTTTTGAATATGTGCAATTTTGTACATGTTAATCATTCTCCATTAAGACTAATTTTAAAAACTCTTTTAATATTAATTGTTCTATTTGTAACCGCCCTCAAAGAGTTTCCTTGATGAGATAGCACCTTGACACAGTTTTCCAGACTTTAAGAAATATTTTAAATATTTGTATGTATTTCTATTTGGTTAATTTGACTATAAATAGGATTATGCTGAACATACTAATTGTTAAGCTGTTTATTTACCTAAATATATCTCATTATTGGAAATTCACTTGCAGTACCAATCCTGGTGATCACTTCACTTGACTGCAAGCTCTCTGAGGGCAGCACGTTCACTGAGTTGGTAAAGAGCGGTAGATCGGGATTCAAGATCCTGAAGTCAAACCAAGAGCTGACCTTCAGTCCCTCACTGCATTTCACTGGGCTTCAGTTTTCACCTCCTTAAAATGAGGAAGTTAAAGTGCTTCCTCTCCAAATTTCCATTTAGCTAACAATTATGTGATTTTATGATCTTTGACTTCTTGCTGTGCCTACTGCGGAGATCTGTATAGATCAGGCACTCATTTACTTACTTACTCAAGTAAGTAAATGCTTACCGAATGAGGAATTTTTTCCAGTGGAAAAGTTTATATCCCAAGTCAAAGTGTGGCATATTTTATGAATCATTTTAAGATTAACAGATTGTAAAATCTCTCCTCAAGACTTTAATATGCAATAAAAGGTTCAAAGCAGGTGCATAACCTTCATAACGCACAATAAAAATGATAGGAGAAGAAAACAATGAGCTGTGGAACAGGGGCCAGAAAGGGTCATCCAGCTTCCCTCCTGAACTGCATCTGGAACCAATCTCCTGTTCACCACTTCAGCCTTCCTTCTCCTTCYATCACCCCCACCTCACGACTAGGAGTTCATGTGCATGTGTACAGATTTCCTAGACTGCAAGTCTAAGCTTCAGGCACAGCCCCTGCAAACAGCTGCCCCTCAGAAAAAGGGTGGGCACACCCAGAGCTTTGAAGACGTGAAACTCATGCAGTGCTGGTCCATTCTCCCAAAAGCAACTTGCCCATTGGAGTCCACTTGCTCTTGGTTGTACCCCAGTGCCTTCAAGGAACAGATGTACCTATGTGTGTGTGTGGTGTGTGTGTGTGTGTGTGTGTGTGTGTGTGTGTATGTGTGTCTCTCCAAATTTTATAACTACTATGTGTAGGACAGTTGTCCCTCTTTTGCACCACAGCCTCTTACTGGGTCATGAGATGACTCTGTAACCATCTGTCTGTTCTGTTCCCATTATTTAAAAAAAAAGCAAATTTAGGTTTTGCATCTCAAAATAAGCCCCTTGCCTTTGGGATGAGTGTCCTGCTGGCTCTGAGACCTGTGGCTTTGGACCTCTCCCTGTTTCTCCTACCTGTGTCCTGCTTGATCTCCATTGCTTTTAGAAACTTCACCTGCTTAATATTTTCCCACTAAAATAAAGTCTGCATTTCTATTCTGCTACCTTTATTCTCTGTCTTGACACTAGAACTGGCAAAGATTCATGCAAATATAAGACAGGGACAAGGCAGAACCATCACCAGCGGTTAATGGAACACTTACTTGTTAAATGGCCCCAAGTGCAATACACAAGCTATGGCCCTAATCAGAGGTTCTATACCAGGATGGTTGGACATCGATGACCACAGCTACACAACACATTTGCCACCAGCTTGGACAGGTAAACTAACGCTGCTTCTCCCTAAGAGGACTTTCCTGTGTACAATTATGCTTCCCAAGAAGGGACTGTGAAAACACACCACTAGGTCCAAATGATAAGGTATGAAAACAGAAGTTATTAGAGAAAAATTTACAGGCATAATGTAATAGAGTGCATACAATCCCATGAGTCTCATCATGCCACAGCTTAGGCCAGGCATAGTGGTCTATAAGCATAGTGAGACGAAGGAAGAGAGGTGAATAAGCATAGAGGTCTATAAGCACAGTGAGACATGCTTCTTTGAGGGCATGTCCCCATGACCTAAAACCTCCGCTAGGCCCCTTAAACACATGAGCAACTGGTTATTTAACAATTAAAGGTTCCTGCCATCTGTGATAGCACCAAATGGAGGACCAAGATCCTTTAATATGTAAGTCTTTGGGGGGACATTTTAGATTGAAACTATAGCACCAATCAGGCTGTGATGGGATTTTTACTACAATAATTGAAGTTGCTACTCAATATGAAGACAGTTGCCTTACAGCCATAAAGTCATTGGGCATCCATTTCCGCATCTCTAGACAAAGGGGAGCAAGAGGTTGAGGCTGATGGTATTCGATAATGATTATCTATTAAAGTGAATTTAAAAGTTGAAAGATATGATGCCACTTCTAAACTCATTCTGCTGTTATTAAGCTCTCAGGTTTAGTTATACGCACCACACTTGATGGGACTAGGTGACCTGTAAGGCCCTTAGGATCTTGAGACTGTATTCTATGGCCAGCAGTATAATTATTTCCATAATTTGGTAAAAAAACAGTGGACCACCAGAGGGCAGTATGACTACAAGGCAGTAAGGCGGGATGGGGCCACAAAAGGACAGGAAGTTACATTCAAATGAAGTGCACCTGTGACTTTTAAACTCCACAAAATTTATTGACTGTCTACAATTTGTGTGTCCAGCAAATAACAATGACCTCTAACAGCTCACAGCCCAAATATACAACCTAAAGAAAGGGTGGATGCCCATTCCCATTCATTCTAAGTCCATATTAAGCACTTTCTGAGTGCCAGGCACTGTTCTAAGAATTCAGGATTCATCAGCTAACAAAGAAAAGACCAGGAGACCAGTAGAACTGACATGGTGGTGGGAAGATACAGACTAAACAAATACATCAGTAAACTGTGTCTTGTGTTAGGAGGTGATGAGAACTGTGAAAGGGGAAGACAGACCTGGGTTTAGAGGGTTAGAATTCTGGTAAGGGTTGCAGTTTTGGGCAGGGTGGTAAGAGTCCTCAGGGATGGGACATCTGAACAAGACTGAGATAGCCATGTGGCTTCTGGAGAAAGTGTTCCAGATGGAACAACATGAGAAAGTCCTAGGGGTAGGAGAGTATCTAATAGAAAATGAGGTCAGGGTCAAAGGAGGCAGATCATGACCAGCTGCAAAAGCTACTGTGAGGACCATGGTTTTTACTCAGTGAGGTGCGGTGATGCAGGATTTCATGCAGAGACATTTTCAAAGGGTTACCTGGGCCGAGAGCTGAGAATAGCTTCAAAGAGGTTCATCTCCTATAGAAGCTTCATAATATTCAGCTTATCAGCTCATCCAAAAGCACAGTGAAGGACAGTTAAAGGTAGTCATATTGCTGTCACCTTTTAGCAAACAGCAGTGAGTATGTCCACATGTATCCTTCCTGTGCCACATGCAAGGCCTTGTCCCAAGCATTTCACACACTTCTTGTTCAATCCTTCCAACTTCTACGACATCCCCTTCACTATTATTAGCTCCAAGTTAAAGAAAAAGGAGATTGTGCAAATTAGTGACTTGCTAATAGGTTTTTAGATTAGCTAAATGCAACTCACAGAGGTCATGGAGACTTTAATTACTAATGTGAAAAAACACTTCCTAAGCAGGGTTTAGCATCTCCATATGAAGACCTGAAGATAATGGTGGCAGGGAACTGCGAGGGGCATGAAAATTTGAGTTCAACCACCAAAAACTTCTTCATTTTTAAGTCCTGTCTAGACACTACATCTCAGACTTACCTGCACTGTAACTAGGCTGATTTTCTCTTAGAGTGTGGTGTCCCTGCAGACTGTTTTGTAAAGACAGGAGGTTTTAAAGGAGACAGTATCCACCACTGAACCCTGTTTTTCTCTAGGGGCTTTTAGACCACAAGAGTTTCCAAAACAACTGGTTAGGGCTGCATTCAGCCCGAGAACCAGTGAGGTAAGCAAAAACTTCGATAGCCATTTTAAAGATTAACTTTGTGACAGCTGAATCTAATACAAATTTGGATTTGTATTTAGTGTAACTTCTATTTTATTTTTATAGCATTTGAGAGGCTGCATATACAACGATAAKGACCAGACCATAAATAAAACTGAATTCTGACCCACAACCTGCTGCAACCTGCGCAGAGAGCTCTTTGTCTACAACCGCACTGCTGTCCAATCACACCTGCAGGAAGCCAGACGGCGGTCTTTAGGAGCAATCCAAAAAGCTGAATAGGAACTCACGTAAAAACCAGCCCCGAACCGCAAGGATTTAATTTTGCCCCTGCTTCCAGTTTAGGACTAATAAAGACAGCGGAACGCCCTCCTCGGCCAGGCCCACCCTGAAGCCCGCCCACTCCTCTGCCTGCCTCAGGGTCGTGCCCAAAGATTAGCGCCGGGGGCTGATTCCAGCCCCGGGAGCTACGGACCGGGYTAGACGTCAGGAGCAGCCTCTCCCCAGCCGCGGCAGATTCTGGAGTCGCGGCGGAAGCGCCGGATGGGCGGAGCTTCTGCGCACGCCCTCTGCGCACGCGCGCTCGGGCCCACCCCCACGTGGAGGTGACGTCACGTCCGGCGGCCGGGGCGGCAGGGGCGACGGCGTCGGGTAGTGGCTCCGGGTCTGGCCGAGAGCTGGCCGGTGTCCCAGCTGCCTTCCCGCGCTGGCTGGGACTCGCCCCCCGCTCGCTCGCTGGCCCCGTCGGTGCCCGCCGGCCTGTCAGCGGCCCGGCCCGGCTTCCGCCTCCTCCCCGGACCTCTCAGTGTGAACCCGGGTGTGCTCCCACTCCTGGAGGTGAAGCATACCTGACAGGGACCTGCGGTCTGGGGCCAGTTGTGTTTACCTTTCCCATCGGGCGGACGCTCGCAGCAGGAGGTGTAATGGGCAGTGTTTCCTTCAAAAGGGCCTTTGCCTTAATAGTACAGTCTAAGAATGGTTGTCCTCAGGCCACAGGACCTTATCGTTGTGCAGCTGTTTGAATGCTTTTAAAAAAATAAATCTTCAAACTCATTCTTCATGTTAATGAGTTAGTTTGTTTTTGTTTTTGTTTTTAAACATCTGATGGGTCGTCAAAGCTCAGTGTCCTTTAGAATTGATTTTTCTAAATGAATCCTAATCTTGTGTCTGAATCGGTTCAGAAGCTAACTGTTCAGTAAGGACGAAACTCCTTTCTGGTCATTGGGAACGTCTAAAGATTTTTAACTCTTGAAGACTTACTTTTTCTTTTTTTTTTTTTTTTTTTTTGCACCAGCACTTTAAGCATTTGGGTGAGGCAGTGCAATAAGTTTTTGGAAAAGTGCATTCCATTTTTACTGTTCTTGAAACACCAAATTAATTCTATTTTTTTCTTGACTTACCATCAATATTATGAAGTCAATATTTTGAAAGAACTGGAGACCACTGAGCAGTTGAATTCTCATGCCAGATTTTAAATCGTTTTTTCTGCCTCTAACTCTGGTATCACTTGTCAACTGCCTAAATTCCTTACCCACTTCTGGTTATAATTTACTGCTGTTATCTGTTGTGGGTTTTGAATTTTGATAATTACATTTGATAGAACTGTGTTTAAGAGTAAAAGAGAAATAAGGGAAGGACTTGTGTCTTTTTACTTTTACATAATATCTCATTTTGCAAAATGCCCATTTTAGAAAGCATTGCTAAGAAAGAAAATTAAAATCATCTGGGATCTTAGTACAGAAAGATTGCCTTGCTAGCATTTTGAAATATAGTCTTAATTTTTAAAATTAGTAAAAAAATCATAGTCTTTGGCAAAAACAAAACCAGAATTATAGTATATACTGTTTGGAACTCCTTCTGATAACATATCTTATCTGGTCTTCCCATTTCACTAATTTTTTTCTTTGCACATTTATAATAGACATAATATTTCATTGTGCTAGGAGCTCTAATAAGTAAAAATAGGAACCCTAGTGCATAAACCTCGTGCCATCTAATTAAGCAGAGGATTGTTGGCTTTTGTTTTGGTTTTTGGTTAAGGTGCATAGATGAAACAATGTTAGAGTTGTGTGAATGGGAAGATTTAATATTGAGTCCTGTGTAAGGGGAGACAGTTTATCCAACTTATTGAAAAGGTGGAGAAAATCATTGAAAAGTTGTCTAAATTTTCATTCTTTGTTTCTAGGCTCACTTATTTATTTTCCTATGTCTGTCTCTTTTTCCTCCAAGAATGAAACATGACTGAGGATTCTCAGAGAAACTTTCGTTCAGTATATTATGAGAAAGTGGGGTTTCGTGGAGTTGAAGAAAAGAAATCGCTGGAAATCCTCCTGAAAGATGACCGCCTGGGTGAGTTTTATATATTTAATTAAGCTCATTGATTCTCAGTCATTCTAGGTGTTCCAAAGTAAATAATTACCTTAAAAGACATCCAGGGGTCAAGGCCTTGGGCTCAATACCCCCCCCCAACACACACAATCCAGGGTGTTATTGATACATTTGTTCGTGACATGGTGACAGATTGGTATATTTTGAAAAAAGTTGTAGGTTTTTCAGACTTAGATTTAACTGAGAGCCAGAAGTTTTTGCAAGGCCTCTTAAAAAGTCAAGACTGTTTTTTCTTAGTATGCCTGCATATTTTCTTGAATTTCAGATATGTCGTCATAACTTCTAGGTAAACTTCTGCAACAACTCAGTCATGATATTCTTTTATGGAAATATTAAGGCTGCATTATATATTGATATTTTAGGCTAGTAATAATAAAGCCACCATTGATCAAAGTGGAACAAGCTAAACCATAGTTAAAAATAATATCTTATTTACACAGAGTAATTTTTGTTTATTTGTTTTGCAGGGCTGGGATTGAATCAAGGGCCTTATGCATGCTAGGCAGGCAAGCCATTACTGAGCTACATCCTCAACCCATCTAGAGTGTTTATAAAGTTTCACAAATGTTTATCGTCTGGTCATTAGTCCTCATTATATAGTCTGTGTTTTAAGTATGCTGGCATTAATCTTCTCCTTTAGTAAGTAGAGAAATAGAGGCTCATAGCTGTTAAGTATAATTTATCAGGATTTTCAGGCTAACTATACCACTAGTAGCTATCGGAATTGGCAGAGTCACTTAACTTGAGTTTCAGTTTCTGCATCTTCAGGACTGTTACTACCCAACATACTTTATAGTATGGTTTAAATGAAATAAATCCTATAATTTTAACTGCTACCAATATTATAGGGAATGTAATAAATATATGCCAAATGCCTCTCTTATGCTATTGATTATAATTGTTTTGAATAGCTAAGTTGTTGGAAGACTTTATCTAAAAACCAGATCAATATTGCCTTTCCTAAATTTGCCGATTCCCCTGAAGAAATATCTGAACTGTACTTTCAGATTTAAAAAGTGAAATGTATTTACGTACTGTGATGAGCATGAAAAGCATCTAACTACTTGTTTCATTCTTCTTTAGATATTGAGAAACTTTGCACTTTCAGCCAGAGGTTCCCTCTTCCATCCATGTACCGAGCGTTGGTATGGAAGGTGCTCCTAGGTATGAAACCCAGGAGTTGGTAAATGTATCTTCAAATATATTGAATATTGGGATCATTTTTCATCCTCTAGTCAGAACAAGGAGGATTTATTTGTGTTTTTTGCTGTATCTTGGGTCTTCCTCAGAAGACTGCTCACTATAAAATCCTTTAAGATGGTAACTTTAGCAGCAATACATTAAATATTACTCTTGAGTATCAGTTTATTAGTAATGCAAAATGAAGTTCCTGAAATAAAATGTGGAAAGAACATTGGGCTAGGAGAGAAGAGAACTGGTCTTTGCTGTCAGCCCAGAAATCTGGAGGAAAACCCAAGATACTAGGCCTCAGTTTTTGCATCTGTACAGTTAGAATATTGAGCTAAATTGCTTGTAGATTTCTGTGAGTCTCAGTAGTGGAGATATAACATCCTGCCCAGTGCTATTGGAGTCAAAAGGAGTCACTCTACTAGAAGTGTGAGTGAGTCACTTTCAGTGATGAGTGGCAAAATGAGAAGAACTGACTTACTTAGTTTCTCTGGAAGAAAAGGTACCAAAAGTAGCTGGCAGCATCCCCTTGGCGCCCAAGATTTTTTTCCCTACCATTACGGAGACCACTGAAGCACATAATACACATTTATTATCATCTCCCATTTTTTCTTAAAAAACAATTCAAATTTGTCAGCTCTGGGATAGCAGTGCTTTATCAGAAATAGGAACTATTACTGTTATTTGCTAGGTCTCCCTGTGTGCCTGTCACTCAGCTGAGTAGTGTACCTAAGTTATTCAGAGTAACCCTAGAATTCCCCTGGGTTAGGCCTCTGTATCCCGTTTTAAGTGTGCAGAAAATGACTTGCCTAAGGCCTCAGAGCCCTTGTCAGGAGATAGAGTTGGGGCTTAAGCTTTTTGTAGAGCTCACTTGAAGGTAGGCTGGATTATGAACCTCACTTTCTTTTTAAAATGTGTATATTTTCAGGGCTTGCGAAACCTGCAGTCCTAAGTGTGGTTGTATAATATGGAGGCAGAGAATACCGCCCAGGAAGCACTGCACAATGACACTTTGTTGTGCAGCTTTCAGCCTTTGTACACTCACAATCTACAGATGTGGGGACAATTATTTGAGTTTTTGTCTTGAGTGTTTTTGCCTAAATTGTACTATTTCCAGGGACCATCAAAATAAATTCCTTCCAAGGTGGCAGGGTTCAGTTCTGCTGGGAAGTACCACATGTCTTAGTGACTCCAGTGGATTAGTCAGTACCCTTGTGCTCTGAAGTGTTCCTGAGTGCCAGTGCCTATCGGGCTTATCTTCACCTCTGTTTTTCTTACCTTTATCATGTAAGTCATTGCTCTGTTTGGAGTTAAAGGCACTGGGAATTTAGAGCTGTCGCATTATAAAGGACTCTTTTTAGCACAGGTTTTTGATTGCTCAGGGATTTTTGGATGCTGGCTTCCTGGTAACATTTTGGGTAAATGTTAGACTTTTTAGAACCAACTCTTAGAAAACAGGTTTAAGATTTAATGTGGGAAGCACTGGGCTGCTGTTAATGGTGTGAAGAAGGTCCAGCTACAGCTGTCTCATGTGTATTGGCCCAGATGTGTAGAACTCTTCAGTGTGTCCCCTGGCTTCTCTGAAAGCCTGCATGGAGCCCTGAAGCTACGGTACATGTAGGTTCATTTCAGGAAAAGGAACATTTAAGTAGATTTTTTAGCTAGAGACTTTGAGCTCATCTAACTGCTGTTTCTGGAATGTTCTTTGGAATTCTGAATCTATGGTGCTTTGTAGAGGGAGCCATAGTCAAAATGCTCATCCTAGCTTAGCCTGCCCAAGTACTCTTCTGCAAGCTTTATGTACACTGATCTGTGTATTTATCACAACAGCTGTATAGAATTAGGGGTTACTGTTCCCAGCGTTCAGATGGAGAAGCTAAGGCATAGGGAGATGGAGAAAATTGCTGCAGGTCCTCCAATCAGTTAATTGTAGAGCAAAAAATTAAACCCAGGAACTTTGGCTCCGTAGTCTGTGTGCTTCTGTACAGCCTGGTTCAGCAGACTGTTGGTGTTTCTGAAGTACAGGAGGCCAAGTGCCAGATCCAGATAGAGGCCTTTAAAAGCTAACAGTGGCACGGGCTGACAACCCAAATTGAGTTAAACCATTATTATAATTGATGTGGTTATTATCTTGAAATCATGTGGCATACTTATTCAAAAGCTTTGGTGGTGTCATTTCATTTCTCTTTAATACTAATGATGTGTCATCATTCAAATGTTGATAGCATTTAAATTTCAGATTGTTACAGTGAGAAATTATAAAGAATCTATATGGTAACTAAATATTTGTGTGGATTCTAGTCTCTCATGAGCTGCTTCTTATACGATTCTTTTAATACAAGAGAGATTTGGAGTAGTGTCTCAGGGTTCTGCCTTTGTTTTCCTTCTGGGTCTCTGTAGGGATCCTGCCTCCACACCATGAGTCTCATGCCCAGGTGATGATGTACCGCAAGGAGCAGTACTCTGATGTCCTTCACGCTCTGAAAGTCGTTCGCTTCGTCAATGACGCTACACCTCACGTTGAAGTCTATCTCCGCATGTACCAGCTGGAGTGTGGGAAGTTGCCTCGAAGCCCATCTTTCCCACTGGTTAGTGGTCACTTTTGCTCAACACATAGCCCAACTCTTGACTGTCCCGTCTGCCAGCCTTTGATTGCATGAGGTTTGCCTTAGAAACTTTCACTGACGCCCCATTGTGAGTAGCAAGAATAGCACATCTTTATCTGGCATCCACGATCCTGCACATTCTGACCTTGTGTACTTTTTAAAAATACAGTTTAAGTACGGTCATACATTGTTTACCAACAGGGATACTTCTGAGAAATGTGTTGTAAGGCAATCTTGTTGTTATACAGACATTACCGAGTATATTTACTCAAATTAAGACCACCATGACCAGGCAATTTAATCTTATGGGACCACAGTCATATATTGGGTCTCTTGCAGATGTAATCACGTGGCACATGGGAATGTAATTACAAACCTATAGAAAAATTGCAAATATTATCAAGAATTCCTGTATACTGTTTTTTCTGATTCCCATTGTTAACATTTTAAGGCATCTGCTTTGTCATTTTTCCTATAAATCCACACACTCCTTTTTTAAAACCATTTGAGAGTAAGATGTGGACATGATGCGCCAGGACCTCAGATATCTTCACTGTATACTTCTTCCTTTTTTGGGGGGGGCGGGGAAATAAAGGCTAAAGTAGGTTTATTGCTTTGCTGGCAAAGGAGAAACATAGGGGGAACTCCTGTCCCAAAGACTCTCCCAGTCAGGAGAGTTTTAAAGGATCCCTTGGAGGGTTATATTCCAGGTGTGCTCTGGTAGGCAGTCCCAGGGCACCCTGATGGCATGTTAGGATTCATTGATTAATTTGGAAGATATTCACTTCCCAGATCCTGAGCAGACGTCTCCTTCCTGTAGTGGGTATGTTCAAGGGCACTTAACTACGGGAAGAAAAGATACCACTGTCTCCCTAATCTTGTTAGGGAGGGCAAGAGGGGAGAAGAGAGAAAAAAAAGAAACATTAAAAAAAAATAAGCCTTAGAGCCATGAAGGCTACATTCAGAAGGTGAAGGGACCTCTGTTACATTTCCCCACTGTCAATTCTACCTTCCATTTCTGTGGAMAAGTGGGCAACGATATCTCTCAGCTACTTTATGCTGAAAGAGGGYGAAGTTGRGGGAAGTKACCCAAMGTCCTTGTTTTCTGTCMGCTGGGGCATGGACAGTTAAGGATATTCAGCATCACAGCAGTCCAGAGGTTCACGGAGGCAGTTGGCAGGTGACTGGACAGGGTATACATAGGCAAGGTTTATGCTAGGACAGCAATAAAGAAGACAGCAAAGGGTTACTTTTTTGGTGAACAATTAATATGAAAACAACTAGTATTTCAGCTAGTCTCTGGAATGTAGGCCACTGTTTACTTCTTGAAGACAAGAACTCACCTATAAAATAATCCTAGTACAGTCATCAAAACTAAGAAGTTAACATGGGGATAGAATATTAACATGTAATCTACAGACTTCATTCAAACGTGACAATTTTTCCCAGTAATGCCCTTTGTCACAAACAAACAATGAAAGTTCTGGATGAAGATTGATTTTGAATTATGAATTGCATTGTGTTGTCATGTTGCTTTATTCTCTTCAATTTGGGACAATTTCTTCAATTTTCTTATCTTTCATGCTTTTGACATTTTGAGGGGTATAGGTCATTTTTAGAAAGCCCCTCACTTTAGGTCTGGCTGGTGCTTCCTCCTGACGAGATCCAGGTGTCCGCTCAGTGGGAATATCACATGGGTCACGTCCTTCTCCATGTGTTGTATCAGGAGGCCCAGAATGTGGATTTGTTCTGTGAGAGGTAATGCTTAGTGTTGATCACCTGGTGATGGTGTGCCTGCTGGGGTTGGCACTGGAAAGTTATTGTTCCCTTTGTGGAGACTGTAAAACTACTACATGATTTTTTGTGTGTGAGAAATGTTTTAAAAATTTTAAATTTATTTATTCTAATTTGTTATACAAGACAGCAGAGTACATTTCAATTTGTAGTACACATGTAGGGCACAACTTTTCCTGTCTCTGGTTGTTCACAAAGTAGAGTCACACCATTCGTGTCTTCATTCATGTACTTAGGATGGTGATGTTCATCTCAGCTACATGATTATTTCTTATTAAACTTTTGCCCATGGGTTTCACCATTTGTTGATGATTTCAAGAAATTTTTGAATTTTAATGTTTCATATTTAAATAGTTCTGGAAATAGAAAAAGTAGTGCAGTGTCCCCAGACGCCTTTACCAGCATCCTCAACTGTATCGTTCATGACCCTGGTGTAGTGATCAGACCCAGAAAGCTAGCCACGATCCTACTCTAGCAACTAATCTGAAGATCTTACTGAAATCTGCCGACTGTCCCACTCATGCCCTTCTTCTGATCCCAGGTGCCATGTCTTCTTTAATCCAGAAAGTTCCACAGTCTCTCTTGCTCTTTCATGATCTTGAAACTTTTGAAGAGTACTGGCAGTAGAACTTTTCTCCACCTGAGTTTGTCCGATGTTTCCTCATGATTAAAATCTGGTTATGCATTATTCAAGAAGGCCACAGAGATGTGATGATCGCTCCTGTTGCTGCTGGCCTGATCACCTGGTGAAGGTGGTGTCTGCAGCCTTCTCCACTGCAGTGTTACTGTTTTCCTCTTTGTGATTAATATGTAACTTGTGAGGTTGAGGCTTATAAATACCCAACAACTAATAATTCTTGTCTGAAAGTTTTTAGTCCTCTGATTGCCAAATGGTGGTTTTCTAACTCCCTTATTCCTTCTGTGCTTATTAGTTGTTTTTCTTCTATCAGGAGGACTTTTCCCCTCTCTTGCTTATAGATATCAATATGAATTTATGATCCTTTCTTATTCATTGACCTGTAATCTGTTACTGCCCAATTTCTTTTTGTGTTCAGAATGTGCCAGATTTGGCTTTTGGGAGCACTTTGCATCTGACACCTGTGTCATTTTGACAAGTTCCCATCATTTCGCATGTTTCGTAACTTTCTGGCACAAGATGTTCCAGGCTCGTCTTGAGCGACTGTGGTACCAGCCCTCTCTTTTTGGAGGGGATGTGATATTCACAGACCGCAAACCTGGCACTAAATGTGCTCCTTTTTTCCTGGGCTCTCTTTGTTTCCAGGCACTCTGAGCAGAAGCTAGGAAATCTCTGTGCACATACTCACTCACACTGGTATTCACCATGTCCCCTTGGTGGATGGATGGGTGGTTTTGTGTGGCACTGGGGATTGAATGTGGTACCTCACGTGCTATGTGTGCTCTACATTGAGCTCGGCCCCTGTACATCACATTCTTTCCTTCTTTCCTTCCAACTATCTGTCTATCTATCTGTATTAAAAACCCCGAGTTCACCTGTTGGGTCGATTCCCACTCCAGTGTCTCAGGTTCTTTCTGGCTGTCACCGTGTCCGTGCTCCCAGTTCCTCTGGTTGCCTATGTGGAGAGGCCCCATGATGGGGCCTCAGTGTGTTTTCTTCTTTACCCATTTCCCTGTGTGTAACCAACCCTTGGCCCTGGCTTGCAGGCCCTTGGGCTCCTTGGCCCTGACCCTCAGGGTGCAGATGGTCCTGGATGTTCACTGCCTCCTCACCCTGACCTCTCGTCACCCCTCACACCTCCTTGGCCTTATCTGTTTCCTCTTCTAACCTCACTGGATCCCAACCGCTTTTTAAACTTCATCCGTAGCAAACCTTTCACTCTCGTTACTTGCACTACTTACCGCTATGAGAGAGGGAAGAGGAAGGAATAACTATAGAATCTAAGCTCTGGCTGTTTTGGTACAGTCCTCTCTGGGCATTTTAATGAAGGTTTTATGTGTTTGTTAGGTGAACAGGCTGCATGGTCCAAGCAGGGATTTGTTTGAGAGCCTGGCTATTCTATAAAATGTTCATTTTATTGTAGATTGGGCTTGGACTTATTTTTGTTTTTTGCAGTTAATGATGTGGAACCCATGGATAAACCTCAGAGCTAATAAAGGTCATCTACTTCTACTGAATTTGTCAATAGAGAAGATACCTAAATAATAAGTAGAACTTTTCACTTGACTGGTGCAGTGGGGTTTCGAGCACCACACGAGTTCTCAACCTACACATTAGACTAGGCTAGATAATCTGGTAGCTCAAGAAACGTAAATGAGGGGCTGCAGCTCCCACCACACCCTGTTCAACCTTTCCCGGCTCCAAGCCCCGACACCTTCATTGCAGTCTTGGGCACACATGCTGTTGGAGTGTATTTTTTGAGCATGACACCACACCCTCCCCTGGCATAGAGCCCCAATCATTTTTTTTTAAAATTTTTAATCTGTGTGATTAAAAAGAATGTATGATGGTGCATGGCCAGGAATGTGGTGCCTGAAGGGCATTGGTCCTCTTCCCTTAAAGAGGAAGCAGTCAGGGACCTTGCACTGTGCCCAGGACTGCCTGGGAACCCCAGAAAGGAGACCTTTCTCTCTCTTTTTTTCTCTCCTTATCTGAACACATTTAAAAAATGGTTAGGGAAATTTATTCTCTATGATCCTAGCTCTGCTACTCTTGACATTTTATAGAATATTAACAAGTTGGAAGAAGCCTTAAAAATGAGATACTTTTTAATAAAATGGGACTTTCCAGGGAAGTAGAATGATACTTACTAGTTTCTTTTTAACATTAAAATCCTTCACTCATGAAAGCTGAGGTGAAAATGTAAAACTTTTGTAGATAGTAATGGTGTTTTAAAACAAAGTACATTTCCACATAAGGTTCGAGTAATCTTATAGCTTATTCTGTTGAAATTTACTTGAGGGTTTACTTTCAGATCTGGGTGTTGATGCATACTTTGAGAAATGCCATTCTTTTGATTCCTAAAGTTCTGATTCTAAGGATATTAATTTTTTAGATGCTTAAAGTTAGAACAAAATTCTCAAGGCATGTATGGATGCTTTGAAATATAGTAAAACCTTAGTTTCTTGAGTCCTTCAGTATTTGCAAATTCCTGTATTGACGATCTCTTTGGGTACTGTTTGTTCTATTGATCACATCTGTTTGAAGAATTTTCATCCAGCTCTGAGAATATTTTGGGGTGGAGAGTCAGTGCCTTGCTCATAATGGACATTGACTTGTGATAGGGTAGTGTTAGAAGTTGGAGAATTTGTGTGCTCAACCTGGAACCCAGCTGTTGATGAGCTACACTGATTGGAGCGGATTCCTATGGAGGCCCATGCTCATCTCCCCCTTGCTCTGCTCTTTACTGGTGAACTCTGCTTTTTGATCCCACTTTGATTTATTAATGCAGTCTTTTCAAAATTTAGGGGGCAGGGTTTCATTTTTGTTAAAGAAATGTGTCTTCCTCCCTTCTCCTGCCTTGCTCTTGAGATTTATTATTAACCTTGCAGGAGCCAGAGGATGAAGTATTTCTTGCCATTGCTAAAGCCATGGAAGAGATGGTGGAAGACAGTGTCGACTGTTACTGGATCATCCGATGCTTCGTGAACCAGCTAAACAACAAGTACCGGGATTCTTTACCCCAGCTGGTGAGGGGTTGTTTTGTTTGGGGCTTTTGGGGGGTGAGCAGTGGTCCTGGGGTCATCAGTGAATACTCTTACCCCCTGCTGCTGCTACAGTTAGGAGGGAAGCCTTTGTTGCAGGACTCAGCAAGGTTTTCTGTAAGAGACGGATGGTAAATATTTCCAGCTTGGTGGGCCAGATGGTCTCTGTTGTAACCAGGCAGCTCTGCTGTTGGAGCACAAAAGCAAACAGCGCACTGGAGAATGGTTGGGGTTGGCAGTACCCTGCTGCAGGCCAGAGTGTGCCAACCCCTGCTCCGTGGTGTTCCTTACCCTGTTCCAGAATCCACTGAATATATTGAGAATGATCTCTCTGTATTAGTTAAGGTGTATATTTGCCTGCATATAATGGAAGCCCAAGAAGCTTGTTTTCTTTCATGTAATCAGAAGTTCAGAGGTGAGGCAGACCAGAGCTGGGACTGTCCTGCCATGGGGAAGATAGGACTTCTGCTCCTGTTTTTTTGCTCCAGAATTCTTTCTCTACTGTTCACAAGGTAGCTGTTGGACTGATAGTTATGGCATCCACATTCTGGGCTGGAAAGAAGGGAAGGAAAAAGAAATGAAGGAGCAACTGGGCGTGGTGGTGAATGCCTGTAATCCCAGCTGCTTGGGAGGCCAAGGCAGAAGGATTGCAAGTTCAAGGCTAGACTAGACAACTGAGCAAGACTGTATGTCAATGAAAAGGGCTGGGGATGCAGCTCAGTGGTAGAGCACTCCTGGGTTCACGCCTAGAATGGAAGAGAAAAAAAAGGCAAAGGAGGAAGAGGGACATGTCTGTCCAGCCTGCCACCCTTAAGCAGGTTTCCTTCTGTGTGTGTGCAGGGACTCTTCTGGTAAGGTAAGAAAGTCTCCAGTCAGGAGGTGTTTCATACACTTCACTTGCTGGACACCAGCGCTCCGCAGCCTGTGCACTGAGTGTGGGGGGTCACCTTCAGGATCATGGGCTTCTTGGGTTAGGGCTGTCGGACCACATGGCGATGTCCTGGGAAGTGGTCCAGAGTCAGAGTTTGAAGGACAGTTTCCACTGGATGCATATCATTTCACACTGTCGTAAAGTGAAAAAATCTTAAGCTAAGCCATCATAAATTGGGGCAGTCTGCTGCTGGCCTCCTCCTGCTGTGGATTCTGGGAAACATGGATTTTAAAAGCTTGGCACATGTTCATCTTCTGTTAAAATGGGGTGCAGTTAGTGAAGGAGGGGTGTGTGGACGTGGGCCAGGCACCAGCTCTCTGCGCCGTGCCCTGGCTTGGGGATCCTGACAGCCAAAGGGCACTAGCTTGAGGGGTAAGCCAGTTTCCCTTGACCATTCTCTTTTTCCCCCCCTTAGTCAGCTCGTGTATAGGAATGAATCTGTCTGTTTTCCTTGGTTATTGAGTTGTTCATTTGAAGGTTGTACAGGATATGGTTACTGTGCTCTGGGGGGAGGGGGAATGTGGAGTGGTAGTGGAGGCAGGTGAGCCCTGGGGATCACTCTGGAGTCCATATACTGACCAAGAGGGAGGGCTGTGGGCCCTTCAGGTTCATGGAGCTTTTATGAAAACAGTTATTATGTATTTCAGTTAAGTAAAATTTGATTTTTAGGGTTCTAAAATTTGATCCACCTAATTGATTTCAATAAAAATAACTGAATCATGGATGGGGAGCRTAAGTAAATGTAATGCTAGTTGCCTAATTAAATCAGGAGATCTCAATTATATATGGTTTAATTAGCTTTTCTTGTTTAATATTGGAGTCAATGGCATTATTTTTAGGAACGTAAGTAGTATATGAACATATTCTTAAAAGAAGTTAAATAATCCAGATGAATCTCTGATTTCCTAAATCTTTACCACCTGTCCCCACCCCCTTACCTTCTCTAAGCAGTAAACCTTGCTGTCACCTGGTGAGTATTCTTCTAGACTGTCGTGCACACACATGTGTAAAGTGATGTTAAAAAGCACTTAAGTAGCATCATTCATGTACATGTGGCCCTGTAGTTCTTGTGTTTATTTTTATTTTTAACGTAATGCTTAGAGAAGTTTCCATGTAGGTACATATAGTTTTCAGACCTGGCTTCTTTCAGTACAATTTCTGCCACCTTTTGTCCTCCACCCAGGCCAGTTACATCAGTCTCTAGGGGTGAGGTGCTGGGGTGCTAATTTTTTAGAAGCTGGAGGCAGTTCTGTAGTAGGAGCCATTCATATGGAACCACTTTCCCTTCTAATTCACTCATAGCATTTCCTGTTGTGAGTTTGGCATAATGAGGAGGCAGAGCTGTGCTGACAGGAGACCCCTCTGTAAGTTCCCTGTGTGTGTGTCTCCTCTAGGTGGGGGCCTCTAAGCCAGTGTGCAGGTGAAGGGGTGACATCTTTAAAATCTGTGTGTGCCTTGTTAAAATCTTAAACTCCATGTCAGTTTATGCTTCCCAGACAGACTATGAGGTCTCCTCTTTTCAACCCCAGTGTCTGCACCTGATGGTGTCCATCTCTGAAGCATTTGTCCATCTGCTGGTGAAGTGCTTCTCATGTTCAGTTGCGTATCTGCAGTGTTGGGAGAGGTCGAGCAGTTTGCATATTTCTGTTTATTCTTTCCTCTCAGGAATCATGAGCATAATCTGGAAGTCTATCCTTTACGTATTGCACATGTTGGGAATCATCCCCATCTGTTGAGTAAGACTTTTAAGTTTTGATAAAGTGGAGTTTCAGTATTCTTTTGCTTGTTTTATATGTTAAAACAACCTTTCCATCCCAAGATTTAAAAACATATATTCTTTTAACATTTAAAAAATGCTTAACATTTTCAGTTTAGTCTCTCTTCCCAGGGATTTCTCATGAGAGGTATCAGACACCACTCTTTTATACCTGCCTACAACACCACAGTCCTACCAGTGCGCTCTCTCCCCCTCTGGTTAGCACACTGAGAATATTCTTCATGTCAGGAGTGCTAAATTTTCCCTTATTAACCAACTACTTCTTTTCAGCATATCATCTCTGTTTACAGATGAGAATACTGAAGCAAGGAGAGATTCAGGCATTTGCCCAAGGTCACACAGTAACTGGCAGAACACACTACTTTTTCCCCTCAGATTCAAAATGCCATCTTTATTATATATGGCATCGCTGCTTGTATTTGAACCTTTTTTCCAGGTTCTTTTTCCCATTGAGTTATTTGTCTACTCTTAGGCCCATATAGTTCAGTTAGTACAGATTTCTAGTATATTTTGATAGCTGGTAGGAAAAGTTCCCTCTTTCTTTTTCAGAAATGCCTTGGATATTCTTGAGTTTTCTTTTTAGGAATGAATTTTAGAGTGGGAAAAATCTAATGTCCCATAAACTTTGATTTCCTCATTGGTAAAAACAGTTTATTTTAGTAAATACAATATAGTGCCTGACACGTAGTTTTTTAAAAGAGGTCTTTGGACTATAAGAAAAGCTAAACTTCCTGTCATTGCTGTTTGATTTGGGCTTCAGGCGATTTGCCTGTTGAACTTTGGTTTGAACGGTGCTGTCCTGAAGTTCCTTGTTGTCTTGCAGTGGATCTCTCCCTCTTGGTCTGTTGTCAAAGCAGAGTTTCCGTTATCCTGGTCTGTTACTTCTGTTTTTGTAGTTTGACCAGAGAAATTTGTGCTCACAAGGTGCAGGCTGCTTTCTCACCACTGTCRAGGGTGATCGACAGTGACACTGAGGTTCCAAGTGACGTGCTCGTCACGCTGCATGGTTTTCATCCCCAGGATTGCGTCAAGGCTTCCTCCTCACTGGCTTCCAGAATTCTGCTCTTTGGCAAGGCTTCTCATGGCCACGAGGAGTGGAGGCTAGCCCGAGTCGCGTGGCAGGAAGGCCTCTTCACCCAAACTCAGTTGTGCTCAGTCAGCAGAACACGTGAGTGGTCTTTGTGTGGCTGTCGTCCTGTCTCACAGCCAGCCCAACAGAGGTGTTAAAATGAGCAGGCAGCAGCCTCTTCTTATGGGTGCGTCTCTTGTCGGGTTCCCAGTCTGTTGATGATGTGCTTTATCATCTTCAACAAGTTAAGAATTTGGGTGCATGGGAATATTGGAAAAAATTTTACGGAAAAATTTAGAACCTAAAGGTTCAGTGGTAACAGAATTATAATAGATTTTATTTACCATTTGCTGAGTGCAAAGATATCAGGCAATACCTTTCATTAAAAATATATACATCCATGTTTGAATTCACCTGTTTTCTTAGCTTAAGCCGTAGCCTGCAGCACACATTCTTTCCCATCCTGCTGTGAGCCTGGTGTGGCTGGYGTCCTGCCCTAGTGGGAGGTACCGATACTCCACAGTTTTTCAGGGCTCTGTGCTTCTCCATCATGTGTACATTCCCTAGTTTCTTCAGCCTGTTCTCTGTTGGCCACGTGGGTGTATCCACCTTACAGTTGTTACAGAGGCGCTGTTACAGATGAGCGGCTTTGTGCCTACATCTCTTCACGTTTGCCAGGAGAGTTTTGGTGTRGATGTCCTAGAAGCAGATTGGCTGGATCAAGGGGTAAATGCGTACATGACTTTCCTAGAGATGACCCATCCCCCTCACAGAGCTCGTGGTCTTCTGTATCCTCGGGACCAGTGGATCCATTCCTCACAGCCAGTTCCCCTGAGCGGGTGTGGTTAGTCTTCGGAGTTTTGCCATCCTTGAGGCTGACCCGTGCCTCAGGGTAGCTCTAGGTAGTACTTCCTTATGACACACAGAGTGGAGGATCTTTTCAGGTGGGTAAGAGCAGTGTGCATTGTTTTCTAAAGCATTCTGGTCTCTTTCCTTCCCTATTTTTAGAAGCTCTATTTAGGGCTACTAACCCTTTAAGGTTATTTATTAACCTGGGAAAATACTCACAATTTGTTGAGTACAAAAAGCAGAATCTTAAATTGTATATTCAACATGAGCCCAACGAATGACAGACTGAAGTATGTGTGTGTGTGTGTGTGTGTGTGTGTGTGTGTGTGTGTGTATGTGTGCACGTGCATGTGTGTGTGCAGGAAGAGTGGATGTGGTGCAAAACACATGACTGGTGGTTGTCACTGGATGGTGTGATTGTAAGTGACCTTTGAATTCTTTATTCTTTTCTGCATTTCAAGATTTCTTATACTAGCATATTATAAATCAGGAAGAAAAATTTATAAGAAATTAGCAAAAAGGTGAACACTGAGTGATTATCAGTATATTCCTAAACTTCATATTAATTCATGGTATTCACTTACTCAAAAAATAACATATCTGGTGTTTACTATGCCAAGTCATGTGTGAGTCCTGGAGATCCAGCAGAGAACAAGACAGGTGTGCTCCCTGCTCTCAGTGAGCTTCTAGTCTCATCAAGGAGAAGAGACATAACAGAGGATGATTTTAAAACATTCTTCTGTATCCTATTTATTACCTGGGCTGACTTGTGGATGAAATTCTCTTCGTAGTGAGACACAGTACTCGTAATGAGATGGGTGGGCCGGAGCCTCACTGAGTGCCAGCACTTGCCTAGCGTGTGCAGGGCCCAGGCTCCATCCCCAGCACCACAAGATAAAATAAAGATGTGTGTGTTTCACCCATGCACATGGACCTTTTGGCAAAACCGGCCCAAATAACAGAGTAGGCCTGCCCTTTTTGGCTTGTCCTCTGGARCACCCCTTGTTTTGAGGAATGTGTGTGATATCCTTGAGGATCTTGGGGACTGTAATAGTGAGTGGAACTATAATTTTATGGTGAAGTTACAGAAACAGAAAGTAGTTAAAGAAGCCCTGAAAGAGAGGGGAGAGCTGGGCCAGATGTTAATATGGGGTCCCTTCTTGGCTGACTCCTCTTCATTCTTCTGGGGTCAGCTCAGCTGTCACCTCTCCTGAGGAGCTGTTTCTGCTTCCCACACGTGGGTAAGATTCTCCTGGATGGGCCCCCCATCTCCTGCTTGCCCATCGCTGCATCTTAGCATCATGCTCTGTTGAAACTGCATCTCTGCTGTCTGTCTCAGGCTGCGGCTCCTTGAAGGCAGGGACTTGAGCTTGTCTTTTGCTCAATTGCTTGCATGGCACACGTCTGCTTCAGTGGACACTGGAAAGGGTATGAATGGCCTTTTTGACAGAGCGGAGAGGGATGGGTATTTGATAACAAACACATGCATTTGTTTTGGTGAGATGGGATCTGGTGTACTCTTCATGACAGTGAGTACAGATCTTGGGGTTTGCCCCTCAGTGTCCGTTCCTAGCCAGTGGACCCTAAATCCAGTGTGGGTCTGGAGAGCTGGCTCTGTTGGCTCTGCGSGTCTTCCAGAGGGAGGCTACCAGACAGAATCCAGGTGCCTGAGTTATGTATCTGTTCCAAGAAATCCCTGTGCAGGCTTGTGTGGTACAGTGCTCATCCTCAGGAAGCCCTGTTGGCCGCACCTCCTGTGCTCAGTAGAGCAGTGGTGCATATCTGGTCAGTGGCTGATTGGCTCCTTCTTGCCACCATTTATTTGTCCCATTGTTCCTCTTTCTCCACACCTTAACCCCACTCGGTTTCTTTTGCTCGACCTCTCCTTAGCTCCTCCTCATCTGCAATGTACAGCTGCTGCAGACCAGCCATTAAGGTTGTGGCCTTTTTCAGCTCCCATAACATTCGAACTTTGTTTTGGATTTAGCCTTAGGCTGTTGAATCAACTTAATGCAATTAGAGTGACCAGCTCTTCTGTTCTGCCTGGAACTGTCCCACGTTTAGTACCGAGAGTATGGTGTCCCTGGAAGCCCTCCGGTCTTGGGAGGTGGTTACTCTTGTCCGTTGCTGACCTGGGCACTGCTGTGTCACATGGGACTGGGAGATTCTGAAGTTTCATCCTCTAGCATTTCCTTGAATTCAGCATGCAAACTTTTTTTCATCACAGGCTATAATATCAGGTGACATTATGTCATAGGAAATGAGTAATCTCTCTTCCTGTTGAATCTTTAGCCAAAGGCTTTTGAACAATACTTGAATCTGGAAGATAGCAGACTGCTGACTCATCTAAGAGCGTGTTCGGCAGTGTCCAAGCTTCCTTATGATCTCTGGTTCAAGAGGTGCTTCGCAGGATGCCTGCCTGAATCCAGTTTACAGAGGCAAGTATTTTTTTCACAGCAGACCAAAGACCTGGAGTTCAGGAAGAATCCTGGTTTTCATGTGACCATCCCCCAGCATGTAAATTGCTTTAGAATGAGAGGGTAGTTTGAAGCTACGTTCTCCAGCAGCTGCCATATCTGCACATGATTCTGCTTATTACTGCATACAAACTTAGAAAAATGGAGGGTCCCTTGTGTGTAGCTGTGCAGCAGTCATACCTAAAATGTCTCCAGAAGTTCATGGAAGTGTGAGCTCATCTTTTCCAGAAGTTGGCAGATCCTAATCTAGCAGGAATCTTCGTCTTACTTTAATCATGACATCCTTAAAGGAGCTGAGGGCAAAGATGTGAGGCGTAAGCAAGTCATTCTTAGGCATGTGTTTTAGGCATTTCTGAGTCCCAGCCCTACCCCTCCAGGACTTCATTGAGAAGAAATGCCGGACACTGAGCATTAGACTAGGCAGTGACGTGTAGAGTCTAATACCAACCTTCAAAGTTTTAGGAATTATTAGAATGATCATGTTAGATTGGTAGTGTCTCCTCAGCCCTTGGAGAAGTTTAAGGAATCTGTCTCCAGATAGCAGTGAAATTGACTTTATCTCATATTTCATGTCCTTCTTTTGTTGTTGCCTAATTGTATAGCAYTGGGGGATGTTAGTAAAACAAAATCTTTGGTTTAGGATCTTCTTTTCTTTCCCTGAAGATGTTGGGTTTGTAACAGGAGGGAATGGGCCTTTGGCACATTCCTAGCAGAGTAGTAATTTGTTTTTCAGGTTTTAAAAATTTTACTTTGTTATATATGATAAAAGAATGCATTATAATTCATATTACACATATGGAGCACAATTTTTCATATCTCTGGTTGTACACAAAGTAGAGTCACACCATTCATGTCTTTATACATGTAATGATTTCCATCTCATTCGCCGTCTTTCCTAGCCCCACGCCCCCTCCCTTCCCCTCCAATTCCTCTGCCCTATCTAGAATTCGTCTATTCCTCCCATGTTCCTCCCCCGAAACCCCACTGTGAATCAGCCTCCTTATATCAGAGAAAACATTTGGCATTTGTTTTTTTGGGATTGGCTAACTTCACTTAGCGTTTTATTCTCCAACTCCATCCATTTACCTGTAAATGCCATGATTTTATTCTCTTTTAATATTCCATTATGTATATTTACCCCATTTTCTTTATCCATTCATCTACTGAAGGCATCTAGATTGGTTCTACAGTTTAGCTRTTGTGAATTGTGCTGCTATAAACATTGATGTGGCTGTGTCCCTGTGGTATGCTAATTTTAAGTCCTTTGGGTATAGACCCAGGAATGGGATAGCTGGGTCAAATGGTGGTTCCATTCCCAGTTTTCCAAGGAATCTCCATACTGTTTTCCAGATTGGCTGCACCAGTTTGCAGTCCCACCAGCAACGTATGAGAGTGCCTTTTCCCCCACATCCTCACCAACACTTATTGTTGTTTATATTCTTTTTCTTTTTTCAAAGAGAGAGAGAGAGAAAGAATTTTTAATATTTATTTTTCTTAGTTTTCGGCGGACACAACATCTTTGTTTGTATGTGGTGTTGAGGATCGAACCCGGGCCGCACGCATGCCAGGCGAGCGCGCTACCGCTTGAGCCACATCCCCAGCCCTGTTTATATTCTTAATAGCTGCCATTCTGACTGGAGCGAGATGAAATCTTAGAGTAGTTTTGATTTGAATTTCTCTAATTGCTAGAGAGGTTGAACATTTTTTCATATATTTGTTGATTGATTGTATATCCTCTTCTGAGAAGTGTCTGTTCAGTTCCTTTGCCCATTTATTGATTGGGTTATTTGTTTTTTTGGTGTTAAGACTTTTAAGTTCTTTATATATCCTAGAGATTAGTGCTCTATCTGATGTGTGTGTGGTAAAAATTTGTTCCCAATTTCAGGGCAGTAATTTTTAGTGAACTTTCCACTTTCCTTTGCTGCTGATTATGTCAAGAATATATTTCAGTGATTCATCTATTTTGTTGTTTTTGATGATTATTTAGCAGTAGTTCTTATCTGAAGCTTATACTTAAAATAGGAGTAATGTGATCTTATTTTGTAATTTGAGATGTCTAGTGAATATAAATTTCAAATTTATGTAATTTGATTATATCTCCTTATTTTTGTAGGGTTTGGGATAAAGTTGTAAGTGGATCCTGTAAAATCTTAGTTTTTGTAGCTGTGGAAATTTTATTAACTTTTAAAATAAAAGTAATGGCACTGAACAATGCGGAGAAGATAACGAAATTCCTGGAAAATGTAAGTGTGCTTTATTTGATTCATTTTTTTGTGTCGGGGACTCTTTGTTTCTTTGTTTTGTTTTGGTACTAGGGATTGAACCCAAGGCCTCCCACGTGGGAATCAAGTGCTCCACTGCCAGCCACACTCCTAGCATCTTGATTCAATTTTGAATCTAGAAATGAAGTCAGGTTAGCAAGCCAGATTTCTTATTGCATTAAATTATTTCTAAGAAATAATATAGTATCTTTTTAACACTAAAATAAACTTTTTTTTTTCCTTAAAACATGTCTTTTCAAAGTTAGCCTCTGGATTGTAATGTGTGTACCCCTGTCTGGGGGCTGCTGGTCTGAGCAGCAAGGCCGTTGCTCAAGTGTGCCCACTGAGGATCAGAGTGCCTTTCCTAAGTGACTACCAAACAGGCATGTTTGGAGATGTAGCTGCAATTTTTTCAATAGAGTAAGAACCCTGATATCTTAGATTTTGTACATTCTTTCATTTCTGTTACTGTCTCAGATGTAATCTCAGTAGGATTAGTCAGTGTGCTAAAGTATTATCTAATACATATTGAAAAAAGACCCAAATGAATCAGCTTTGCCCTGGAAGGAAGGAGAGTTAGGCCTGCATGAATAATATATCATAGATAGGACCCCAAATCTATCCTTTTTTTCAAAAAATAGATGTACACAAAACCTTTGTTTTATTTTCATTTATTTTTATGTGGTACTGAGGATTAAACCCTGTGCCTTTCATGTGCCAGGCAAGTGCTCTACCACTGAGCCACAACCCCGGCCCTCCTCCTCTATTTTTTTTTTAAATTAATATTAACATTTGAATAGTGGCTTGGAAAATAATTAGTACTAAGTGAAGGTGTGTTCAGCAAAGAATCATAAACATCATGATCAGAGGCCAACAGCCAGTGTCTGTGACGAGTAGTTTTCATGATCCTGTCATCCTGTGAACAGCTCTGTGAGGTTGGGCTGTCATTTCCCCCATTCTAGGGGCTCTGAACCCACCCTGAGCCCCACGATCAGTGGGCAGTACAGAATTTGAACCTGGCTGTCTACTTGGTATGTTCTCAGGTGACTTTAAAACAATCCTTTCATGCTGTACTTTCTGAACAGTAGTAAAATCTCCCATGGAAATCAGTTTTAACAGTGAGCAGTGAATGAGAGAAGGTCCTCAAGTTCCAGACACACATGTCTGTCTCACCCAGACTGGTTGCTGTTCACAGATTCCCCAGGACAGCTCGGATGCCATCGTGAGCAAGGCCATCGACTTGTGGCACAAGCACTGTGGGACACCGGTGCATTCAGTCTGAGCCTCCTGATGGTTGGGGATGGTCTGTCCCCTGGGCACTTTGTTCTTGTCACCAGTCTACTAAGCTGATTGGAACAGTTGTCTTGCTCTGGTGCTCAACGTGAAATTTTTTTCCCCAGTAAAATAATTTAATGAAAAAAGCTGGTGTTGCCGTGTTGTGGATCAGCACTTCACTCACACTGGAATGCCAAGTTCACTGTTCAAGGGTGGTTAGGAAAAAGCTTCTAGTTCTGGAAGCAGTTCTGTCCGGGGGTGGGTGTACTCAGGAGCAGAGAGCAGCCTGCCCCACCTCTCTCTAATTAGCATCAACTCGTCACTGTTGAAGTTCTATTTCTGGAATAAAAAGCAACTTCCTTTGGTTGACACCTCAGTTTTATCTTTTGTTGGTGCAGAACTTGTTTAAATCTAAGCTTCCTTCTCAGGCCTCATCTTGCTAAATAGGCTTAGAAATAGTCGTTTCGCTCTTTTTCCCTGTGACAGTTGAACAAAGCCTTTATTGAACAAAATATGTCTGGATCTACTAACTAGGCACGGTGCTTGTTTGGAAGTCACTGCACCCTTGCTTTCCCCTCACTGGCTGTTAAATGCCGGGTAGACTTGAGGGAGCCGTGCTGCACACAAAGGGCGTGGGAGGGATGGCAGGTGAAGATTAATAGCCAGTGACCCCTGGGCACATGGTGCCACACAGTCGTCACTGTTCACGGGACAGTTGCCGGCTTTGAGACTGGGGAGTGAAACGGGGCCCTTTGTTTCAGATTTACTCAGCTGTCTGACCTGCAAGGGCCTGAGTAGTAAATAGGAGTCTCCACCCCACCCCACCCCGCCCCTCAACTGGGAGACAGAAGATGAAATTACGGACAGTTATAATCCCAAGAACAGAGCCCCCAAGGTGTAAAATACCTGTTGAGAAAGAGTTCAGAGAAAATGGGGCTGATAAACCCAGCAGGGACCTCTGTACAGCACAGACCCAAGTTGTCCTCTAAAAACTGGCCACCCACCATCTGTCCCGTGATCTCCTCTGTGGGAGAACTGTGGGGACTAAGAAAGGACACGCAGAGGAACCCTTGCCCCAGTTGTCGCTGTCTAGAGATCTTGGGGGAGGTGAAATTCACAGAGAGGTGGTGAAGTAGGAATCACGTTACTCTGTTCAAGAGCCACATGTCATTTGATGAGTTCTTGGTAGAACAGAAGCRATGAAGTCAAGGGATGCTAGTGGCTTCCAGTTCCAGAGGAGAAAGGATTGGCCGCCATCTCTGAGTAAGAGGGTGCTGTGAAGGCGGTACTCCTGGGAACCCCTGCTGGAATGGGGGAAGGCTGGGGTGCTGGGGAGCAGGGCTGGGAGCCAGCCAGGGCCTGGGGCTGGGGGGGGTGCAGGGGGGGGAGGGCTGGGGGAGGAGGGCTGGGGCTGGCTGACCTCTTACCCCACCCTCTGGCTGAGGCCCTGAGGATCTGAAGGCTGCTCTCAACTGCTAGGGACCCAAAATCCACACAAGTATCGTCTCAAAACCAGTGTGGTAAAGCCTGTCTAGCCCTGGGGGTGGGCTGAGGGTTTTGTTTTTTTAAAGTGATTCAATTTGATACCATCAAAAGTTTTTCTTATTGAAAAACTAAAAAATAAATATTAAAAATTCTCTCTTTAAAAAAAAAAAGAAAAAAGAAAAACTTAACATCAGAAGAATTTTTAAAAGCCTACTGTGAGAATTTAAAAGTCCATGTGAACATGTTTAAAAACCCACCGTGGAGTAGGTGAGGACCCAGTTTCATTTAATACCCTGATTTTACTTTGCCGAGAGGTCGAGGGAGGAGCACAGTTCCTAATAAAAATGCCTCCCTATTCCTTGCCTCCAGAACATTCTGTCAGGGCGCTGTGGCACGGTCCTCCGTGTTGAAGCCCAGAGTGTGCCCCAGCCCGACTGCTGCAGCTGAGGCGCGGGTCCTCCCTTTGCCTCAGAAAAGGGGGGTTTCACGTGGTTCAGTTTAGTCCTACACTTCTCCTCTGGAGGTTCTTAAACGCTGATGGGAGAAGCCTCAACCTGCTGGGCTACGAGACTCTGAGGACCCAGGGAGACTTGTGTGTGTGTGTGTGTGTGTGTGTGTGTGTGTGTGCTGTGTGTTAGATGTGTGTGGAGTGTGTGGGTTTTATATGTGTGTGGGGGTGCTGTGTGTGTGTGAGGTACAAGTGGGGGTGGGAGTGTGTATATTTGTGGGGTGGGAGGTATATGGTATGTGTGTGGGTTATATAGTGTGTATGTGGAGGCAGGGGGCATTAAGTGGGATGTGTATGTGTGTATGTAGTGTGTGTAGGGTATGTGGGGGGTGTGGCCTGTGGGGGGGTGTTATATGGGGGGTATTTATATGTGTGTGTGGACTGGTGTGGGGGTGTATGTGGAGGGTGTTTGGTGCGGTGTGTGTGGGGGCTTGTGTGTGTGGGGGTGTTGTGTCGTATGTGTGGGGTATGTCTGGTAGTGCGTGTGTATGTGGGGGGGTGTTATGTGTGGTGTGTAGGTGTATGTGAACTGCGATATGGGGTGTGTATGTGGGAGGTTTGTGTGTGGTGTATATAGGTGAGGGTATTTGTGAGATGTGTGGTGTGTGGGCTTGTGTTTGTGGACTGTGGAGTGTGGGGGTGTGTGGGTGTTATCTGAGATATGTAGGGGTGTGTGGGTTTGTGCGTGGACTGTGGTGTGGGGGAGTGTGGGGGTGTGGGGGTGTTATCTAAGGTGTAGGTGTGTGTGGGCTTGTGTGTGGACTGTGTGGTACAGCGGGGGTGTCGTGTGGTGTGTGTGGGTTTGTGTGTGGACTGTGGTGTGGGGGAGTGTGGGGGTGTTATCTAAAGTGTAGGTGTGTGTGGGCTTGTGTGTGGACTGTGTGGTACAGCAGGTGTGGATGTGGGGGTGTCGTGTGTGTGGGTTTATGTGTGGACTGGTGTGGGGGAGTGTGGGGGTGTGGGGGTGTTATCTAAGGTGTAGGTGTGTGTGGGCTTGTGTGTGGACTGTGTGGTATAGTGGGTGTGGATGTGGRGGTGTCGTGTGGTGTGTGGACGTGGGGGTGTTTGTGTCATGTGGTGTGCCTGTGTGCGTGTGGCTCTCTGGGTGGACTCTGGCTGTTACGTGGTATGGTTTTACCCAATGACAGGTTGAGTAGCCAAGTGACGCACACGTGGCTGTGTGTGGTGGTGGCTTCCGGAGGTGGCCGGGGTCCCTGGGAACGGCTCGCTCTTTGCTAGTGGAAGCTCCGTGAGGTGCCCAGGGCCCGGCAGGCCTCCTGCTGGCTCTGGCATAGGGGGCCTGCCCTGTCTTGATTGCTCACAGCCCTGTCATGTGGTTGTCATTTCCCTGCTGTGACTTCTGTGTCCTCAGAGACTGTGGAGGAGCTGGAGGGAGCACGTCCCCTTCGGGACAGCAGCACAGACGCCCAGGCTGGACCCCAGGCCTGGCCTTGCTTGGATGCCCCTGTGGCAGTGGCTGCTGTGGCATCACTGCCGAGCGTAGCCTGTCCCTGAGCCCAGCCCTACAGCCTCAGGCTGCTGTGGGGTGTGGACATGCGACCGTGGGCGGGTTCCCTGGCTCTGCACTTGGCCCAGTGGTCACAGTGGGGCAGGGGGACAGGAGGGCAGGCCCAGGGGAGAGGGGTGTGGGAATTGGTAGCAGCAGTTGGTGGCGTTCCCTCTGCTGGTTGAAAGGCCGGTTCTCCTTGAGGCTGTGCCAAATGAAACTGCGGGTGGCTCTTGGCTCAGGCCCCAGAGCTGAAGCAGGAAGGAGGGATGGGAGGGGGCGGGGAGGCGGGGAGGCTGGCCTTCCCTCTGTCCTCACTGCTCCTCCTCCTCCCCACTGGCTCCCCTTTCAGCCTGGCCTTGTGGGATCTCAAACTAAGTGGACAACCGTGAGATGAGGTGACACTTCACCCCCTTCCCACCTCTGGGGGCTGCTTTTATCCAGAGAGCTGGAGAACGTGACAGAGAGCCGCAAGACTCCTCCAAGAAGCTCGTCCTGACTGACCCACCCCAAGTGCCCCAGCAGCCCTCAAGGCTCAGGCCTGGAGTCACGCCTGACTGGCAGCTGTCCCTCCCTAGTGATCGAGAACTTGGGCCGCACACCTCGCCTTCTTTCCCTGAGTGCCAGCCTAGGCAGTTCCAGCGTCCTYCCTCCCCGTGATGGGAGCCCACAGGAGCCCGAGGGAGGCACAGGCGGGAGGCGGACTGGGTGATCTGCTTCCAGGCTCCTGTCCCCCTCCTGGAGGTCTGGCTCCTTTGTTCCTGTCTTTGTCACTGAGACATGAAATAAATGTGCATAAACCTGCAGTTGGGAGCCAGGTACGGAGCGTCAACTGCTGAGGAAGAAGCATGGCACCTGCCCTCTTGCAGCTTCTCGTCGTGCAGGGGAGACAGATTCTGCCCACGCCTGTTGTGTCCTGAGCTCCCCACGAGGGAGAAGGTGACCTGAGCCAGCTGGGAGCTCCAGGGCAGGTTAGCATTTCTCTGAGATGAGTGGGTTTTGTCCCCTCCCTCAATAATGGAAGAAGTGACAAGAACCTTGGACAGGGGAGGGGCCTGGAGCCTCTGCCCCCCCCATCCTGTTCTGCCACCTTCGCCCAGTGCTGTCTGCGTCCCAGTGTCCTGAGCCTCCCGCCCGGCTCTGACCAGCCCTCGTCCCCAGTGCTGGCCAGCACCAGGCCCAGTGGCTGTGAAGACGTTCTACACAAACATGGCGCTCCATGGAACGCCGGGGTTTTACCAGCCCCGTTGGCAGCAGTAAACCTAGGACCGTCTACTCTGTCCCCAGAGCCCCTTGTTGACTTCTGAGCGGGAGTCGCTGTCCTTCCTCTGAGCTGGTGTGGTGTTTCCAACATCCCTGAAACTGGCTGTGTTCAATTTGCTTTCCCTCTTTTGCTTTTGGTGTTGGGGTGGAGTCCAGGCCCTTGCAGATGCTGGGCAAATGCTCTCCCACTGAGCTGCAGCACAGACCAAACTTGGTTTTAAAAAAATGTGTCTTAAGTTGACACATAGTAATTGAACATGTTAATGTGGCATTTTGAGAAGTGTACACAACACATACCGATCAGATCAAGGTCATGGCTTCTCCATCAGCACATTCTCATGTCTTTGTGTTGGGAACATTCAAAATCCTATTAGCTATTTTGA